CTACTAAACGAACGTAACGTAACGTACGTACGTACTACGTCGTACTACGTCGTACGTCTCTTCTCTCTCTCTCTCTCTCTCTCTCTCTCTCTCTCTCTCTCTCTCTCTCTCTCTCTTTCTTTCCGCTGATATGTTGTTCAAATAAGGCATGTCTGTCGGCCTAAAAAGGCCGAAAAAGAAGAAGCCTTCCGCTGCAGTCACTTTTATGGCAGGCAAACATACCCTTCCAACAAACGTGGTGTGTAGCATTTCTTAACGGCAGCACGCTGCTGTCTCTCGCTTGCAACGATGCATCCTGCCCGAATATTTCAACATTCAAATTTCAACATTTGAAATCTGACGTGAATCCTCGCGCGCGAAATCTTACGATTTTTATTTTCTAAATAAGCGATATTGTTCTCACATTCTTAATTTGGACTTACAAAATACTTGTCAAATTTTCATTGTCTTTTATGTATCTTGTATGCAATGAAGAACTGTTTTTTTGAACTGAACTTTATCCCTTGTTATAATATTATTTAAAAAATAAGGAAGGAAAAAAATTATACGCTCGAAAGAGGCACGTCATTGACTTATTTATCACACGATATTATCTCATGTGACATACTTGTCCCAAGTCTTTAATGACTGAATAGCGTCATTAGGGAATTTGCCAGTCGGAACGGAGGAGAAAATGTAATAAATTTATCGTGACCGGAAAACCATTGTGACATAAACGATTATTATAGGGCTATCGTTGGATTGGATCATCTACGTTTATAGCATGCAAGATATTTCTTTGACGTCACGTAAATTTCTTTATCTCAGGCGGTTAAAATTTATCTCAACGCGTTTAAAATCAAAGTAAATTAAGAAATCTATATTAATTTGTATTAATAAAACGATTGTATTTATATTTGTAATTGTATTTTTTTTGTATAAATTTATTCTAATTTGTGCTACAAAACGTAGAAGCATCTTTAAAATATAAAATCTCTTTCATTTCTTTTTACAATTCTACTATTTTACTTACATCTCAAAATAGTGGTTTAGTTATCTGAATATACAACTTGACAACAAAGTCATTCGTTAAACTCATGTTTTTCATGCTTTTACATCAACGTTAAAGATAGCTAAATCCATTGGAATTCTATCGGGATGGAAAATAGGGCGTAAGATTAACAAAAAGAGATTAACAAAGAAATTTTCTTAGCAAATGTTATTTAATTCTATAGACTTACTTTCTGCGCCTAGACTTAAATTAATTACATCGATTAATCATAATCATAATGGATCATAAATATAAATAGGATATCGATCGAGATACATCGACATTTTTTTTAAAGAGGACGTATTTCTCGACGCACACGTTATACAAGCTTGAGCTACGATCGATCGTGATCTATCTGCCTTTTTTCATAAGTATATTTTACATTTTTCTTTTTACACACTTCGCTTATTCATCCGCAAAATCGAGACTCATAGTTCTTTTCTTGCGTATCACTGATTTACAAATTCATCGAACTACGAAAATCTTGAAAAATCTGCAATTCTAAACTCGTGTACGTGAAAATCAATTTCTTCCAATTTCAAGTAAAACAAATCACTATTAAATAAAATATTAAATCTTGTAGATAGTCTTAACGAAATTATTTATCAATTCGAAAACATATGCGTATATTAAAAACAAATGATAAGTGATAATGAAATTCATTAAAAGATCAAATTAAAAGATCCAAGAGTTACACAGCTCACGTGTTCGCCCCGGGATTTATTCGTCATTGACAAAAACTGTCTTTTTGCAAGTTTAGCTTATAATTCTGCGTACGTTTCCAGACAACATCGGGATGCGCGTTACGCGATTTTTATTTTTAATTCCGCTCACCTTCGACACGAAAAATAATTTTACAGATTTATTAACGTTTCTCTTTTCTTCGGAAAAATCGTCTTCACATACTGTACTTGATCTGATCGTAGTACATCGTTGTGGGTGGGGGTGTCGGGGCGTGATGAATATTTGTGGAAACTGTGCCAGGTATATTGGATATGCTCAAGCCGCCGAGGTTGCTCAGATTTAATGAACCCAGCGAGCTCAGGGAGCTCAAGGTCACCGAGCCTCCGGGATGCGCGAAGTAGGATGGCTTCCTGTCGACGATGCCTCCGCCGGAACTGTTCGAATTGGAGCTAGAATTGGTGCACGACATCTTTATCCCTGAAACAAATCGACAGATTGCTAATTATTAACTCGCGTACCCCTTTGTAAAAATAATGATAATTGCCTCTCAAGGCAAATATCCCTCTCGAGAAATCATTTTGCTACCCAATTTGTTATATATTCGTAATACAACAATTTGTATAATATTCGTTTAACGAAATTATGAATTAAAATCTAAAAAAGTAAAATAAATATATTTTAATTTTAAAGTCGAGATTTCAACGCGCAAAAAGATCCGGAATTTTTAATAGCCTGCGACCCGAAGGCTATACCAATCATCTCGACACCTAAAATTCCTTTTTATTGTTTTCATATAAAGTGTAAACTCTGAAAATATTTGATTCCAATTTTCAAACATTCCACATACACGGATGAGATTTCATCCAGTTTCGCTACTTAAGACCGCACGCGATGCGAGAGTAACGGTAGAAAGAAACGAGAGATCTCACGATAGAAATTGGTACTTGGGCAGGCATCCACATAAATCTAAAGCTCCGCCAGTTCTCAAGTAGCTTCCTCTCGAGCGACCACTTCACTCGTGTCTCAATTTTCTGTTTTTTCCTTCCTCCTTTCGCATCTCCATATTAATTTTCGCTTCTCACAAGTGGATTACAGATTTGCTCGTAATCTCAGGAAAATAAAAATTTTTCTCTTCCTTTCCCTTTCGCAGGATCACTCTTGCGAAGGTCGTCGCGTCAAGATAAATTTATAATTTCACCGCTTTTGATATCTCTCGACTCGTCGAGTTTCCCCGAGGCCCTGAGATTTCGAAATCGCGTCACTCCTCACGTCAATCCTCAATTCGAAGATTGGCGAGTTCCCCTCGATTCGGCATCGCGACGCCTCGAAACGACGTCGACGTGGGTGGTCCGGTGGCGCTGCTGCCAGTCAAAATCCTCCTCTGTAGATCCAAATGCTCTCCGGCGCGCCATTTCTTCTTTTTCTCCTCTTCTTCTTTTTCTCTTCTTCGGGTAGCGCGCATACGCCCGCGAAGGCGCGCGAGGATGCTGGCTTTCAAGGAGCACAGAGAAGTCGCTTCTGTGACCGAATACCGGCACAACAGGCCATAGTTCGGAGCAAAGAGATCGCGCTCCAGAAATATACGGAGAGCGCGGCGTGTAAGAAGAGTAAAAAGGCGTGCCTACGTGGCGTCTCTGTGTGGATCGATCTCGTTTACACTTCACTGTGACTGACGGAAGACGAACAAGAAGACGAAGACGACGAAGAAGAAGCCCGCGGCGGTGGAAGCGTGGGTGGCGGCGTTTATCTCCTGTCGATCCGCGACTTGTATCGAGATACAGAAGGACGAGACTTACCCTTCTTAATCGAGATTAGACTGTTCGCCTGTACCGAGATATTTTTATAGAAAACCTTAAAAACACCCTAGATGAATAGTTTTCGTCATTTTCTTCGACCAATTTTGGCTTACAAATACGGTACAAATTTGAAATGTTTTCAGGCGCTTCAAGTATCAAGTTTTAACTTAAATAAAAATAAATAATTTACGATGAATAATAACTTGACTGATTTTTCGAGTCTTGGTATAAAAAAATAGTTTTATCGAAGAGAAACTGCGAAACCGCTCATTCTAAGATCTAAAATTGTCTCGGCCATTTGATAATTGTTGAAAAATTTGAGGTTGAATCGGAAAGTTACGAGGAATGAAAGATCTAAATGAATAATTTGTGTGGATCTCAATACGCTGTCAGTAAGTTAACGCCGTAAATATTACGATGCCTCATTCTCCGTAGGGTTAAGGCCGAATTAAGTCACCTCGTTTATATCTCCGATAAATATTTAGGCGATAAACGATTCGAGCGCGCACTTGCTAGCACGCGACTAAGCTCGAGTAGCAAAAAAGCAGCATTTCTACGTGTGTTTCGATGACCATGATTATTTCATGCACGATGCATCTATCCAATTATCATTATTGTTTTTATCTATAACGATATTGACAACAAATAAATTTAAAAACACGCATTTATATTAAAATATAATTATATAGTACAAAAAAGATATGGCAGGTCAAATCCGAATTGCGATATCTTTTTGCTTAGGAAAATTATCAAGGATTTTGTTGTTATCGTTTCGTTAGCGTGATGTTAACGAGCATTTTATTATCGCGTTGGCACGTAGGCGCTGGCTAAATTAATCTCTCAAGAAAGGGAAACGTCTCTGTCTTACGGTGGGTTACACGTGTTAAGTTACAAGATACAAGTTACGAGCTTGGGCATGACGGAAACATCGTCTTGGTTAATCGTTTCTGTCAACGACAGTGACAGTTTCTGTATCCACCTATCCTGTATATTTTGATAACATTAATATTTTTACCATCCTATTATGGTCAATCAAAATTATCTAAATGCATTAATAAAAATTGTGTAAATATCATTTATTTATTATATATCTTCTTTCGTGACAACAATTTATTATGGAAACATAATTATATATTACATTTATGTAGTATTATGTTTATAATTAAAGAAAAATTAAAAAAACGAGAAATCAAACGCGTTTGTAAAATTAAAATAATATGATATACTTACGTCAGGACGTAAGACAAGATAAAAATAATTTCAAGACGGATAAAATCAAAAGAAGATCATGCATTCTTGTAATAAAATTTACCTCTTTTATGCGTAACCGTTCGAGAAACTTTGCCCATGAAATTCTAGCTATAGAAGCAATGGAAGGCTCGAAAGAGTAGTCGCGCCGTGGCTTTACTTTGCCAGGACACGGCGCCTGAAAGATCGTAAACTGTCTCCAATTTTCCAGATGGCCCCTGGAATGACGTCGCGACCCGTCAACGTCGTCCTCGCGATGCGAAGAAAGCTTACAGGTCGCAGACGTGATCTCGCTTCGCTGCGTTTGTTCGCGTCGTGTTCTGCGATCTCGTATTTTCTCAAGCTCACACTTTTGTACATGTTTCAATAATAATTGTAAATTGATTTCAACTACAAATATGTTCTCGCGATATCTACGTATGCTTTTTAGTATGCTCTTTCATATTCTATTATCTCTTTCTCATTGCCCTTCGTTTCTTCTGTATTTTCACAAATAATGATTCATAACAGTTCAATGTTAGTCGTCAATCATTATCATATTCGATTAAGAAGCTTTCCAAATGTAAACTGTTCAAAAATTCATTGATGTATTTAATAATAAAAAACATTCATCGCGAAAGAGAAATGACACACACACGTCACAACTCACCGTGATCCGCGGCAGGAGTCTGACATCCGCTGTGCGGCGAGCTGACGTTGGCGACAGGGCTGCTGTTGCCGCCCGGCTGCTCCTGCATAGATTGCATGGTGATGTTGACGCCGTGGCCGGCGACGTTGTTGACCCCCGCGAGGCCGTAACCGACGTAATAATCCTGCCCGGGCGCTTGAGTGGTGGGCGTCGAGTTGGCGCACTTGTAACCCATCATGGCCTCGTCCTTGTAATCGGCGTGGTGCTGCGAGTGATGATCCTTTACGGTCGAGAACGTCCCGTCGGCCGGCGATCTGTACGCCGTCAGCTGGTCCTGGCCGCGGGCGCCGAAGGCCCCGGGCTCGCTCTTGAACGTCACTAGCTCGCCGTTCCTGTAGACCGACGGCGCGGTCTCGCCGCCGGTCTTGTACGTGACCTCCGTGGTCTTGTAGGTCACCTCGGCTATCGGGGGTGCGGACTTGTACGTCGCCGGGCTCGCCTCCGGGTACGCCCAGTCGGCGGACACCGCCGCGCTCGGCGCGTACATGGCGTACTCCTGATAGTTCTGGTACTGATTCTGATAGCCGTTCGCGTACTCGATGTTGACGCCGGGCCCGGCGGCCAGATTCTCGTAGGGACCGGGGGTTTGCACGCCGACCGCGGGACCGGTGCCCGAGTAGTACTGCGTGTACTGCGGCTTCAACGCCTGACACTTGCGCCGGAAGCCGCGCGGTCGCCGCCGGAAGCTACCCTCCTCGAACATGTACTCGGTGGACGGGTCGATGGTCCAGTAGTGGCCCTTGCCGGGCCGGCCCAGACCCTTGGGCAACTTGATGAAGCACTCGTTCAGGCTGAGATTGTGACGGACGGAGTTCTTCCAGCCCTGATAGGTGCCCCGGAAGAACGGGAACCGCTGCTGCAGAAACGAGTAAATTTCCGAGAGGGTGAGCCTCTTGCCCGGACTCGACTGGATCGCCATCACGATCAACGCGATGTACGAATAGGGCGGCTTCTCCTGCCGTCGCGCCCCGGGTTTCCTCGCCTGCATCTCGCTGCTCGTCGGATTGCACATGAGCGGCTCCAGGCTCGTGTCCTGGGGAAGGCCACCCGCGCCCATGGGTAACACCGCCGATCGCGCGGACACCGTCGAGTTGGGATGCACCACGACCGTCTGCTCCTGCTGCTGGTGCAGCCCGGTGGATCCGTCGGACTCGTTCTTCATGGTTAACCGCACGTTGTCGGCGCCGACGTCGCGGTGCGCCGACGGCACGATCACACTCTGGTCCATCGAGCTCCGCTCCCCGATCAGTGTCAGAGTCTGGCCGTGGCGAACATTCCTAGTCGTCGCGCGAATATCTCTCGGAGCTTTCGTGGCGCGATACGTAAATATATCACGATCTTCGGTCGAACAGGTAAACACTATTCTCGGCGCACGATAAAATCACGAGAAGGGATCTTCGCACAAAAGATGGGGACAGCGTTATTGACGTGCGACGTATCTTAACGGCGAAAATCAACGTCGAACCGAGGATCGCGTCTCGTCCATCTCGTTTCCGCGGAGCAACGACCCCCGACGTCGCCCGAGGGGGAAACCTTCCGCCGCCTTCCAGTAAGCGCGACGCCGAGGTCGCGGATATTTACACGGCCGGATGTAAATTGTTTGCGCGATTCCGCGCGGCGGAGGGGTCAATTATTTAGACTCAACTTGGTCGGCGCGCACGTCGGGCCTCGGAGTCGCTATGATGCGCCGTTAAGTGTTTTCGGATGACTGCTGCTCGCCTCGGTACGGCACGGGAGCGGAATCTGGACCGCGGATGACGTTGATCGCGGCGTGACAGCGTCAGAGACGGGCGTCTCCCCGTGTGGGCGGTCCGGATGAAGCTAGGCATATGGAACTCGGATTGGCCGCGAGATGATGTTCCGCGCGGGAAGCCGGATAGCGCGCCCAATGGCGCGCCCTGAACCGCCCTCGTCATCAACGTCTTCTCCTTCGTCATCACGAAATTATGGGGAAGTGAATTGCGTAATGGCGTTATTCGGACTCGTCCGATGGTGTGCGATATCATATGGCTCATTACGTCTCGTAAGCGTGTCACAATTATTCTCGGTACTGCCATAGAAGAATGGGATAAGATCTGGCTGATGGGATTCGTTGAAGCGAACGGTGTGAAGCGATGTCATGATTACAAAATATCAGAAAAGTAAGTAAAGAATAATTTCTAAGACTCTCGACAAGACGCGATCTTGATAAAAAAATTCAATTCTTCATTTTAATTCCAGGAATAAGATGTTTGTGAGAAAATGTAATTTCTACAAACAGTAAAATTCAGAAGATATCTAAGAGATGATCAGGTGCCTTTCAAAATTTCAGGTGCCTTTTAATCGCTTATTTAAAAAAATTTTTATTATCTATTGAATATACTTTATTGAAAAATCTAAAATCGATATACTTAAAATCTATCTTCGAAAATTTTCAAAAATCAATTCTAAATTATTATCAAAGTGTGGATCAATATATTAATTTCAAAATATTGACTTATTGATGTAAATAAAAATTCACGCGAGATTCGCATTTAAACGATGATAGAACGCTCATCAACATCCTTTACAGAAGTGATTCGTCCTTGGTTCGCTAAAAATGCAAGTGAGTATTACTTGGTCGGATATCGCTATATGTATACTTACTCTGATTGTGAGCTATGTATGCGTCTTCGGAATCGCGCGCGATGCACAGCCGCGAGTGCATACGACGTGAAGACGAAGAGAAGCTATTGGTTCGTCTCTCAACCAACGAGATGCTGTGGATTTTGCTCCGCCCGCATTCGTAGAACCGCCTTACATCCTATTTTCTCGCGGACAAAGTCTCGTCTTTGCATAATGGCATAATTTTTTTCTTATCTCGAAGATTTTCACGATTTTATCATTTCTTACATCGATTTTCTTCAAATTCGAAACGAGACAAGAGCTGTTAAAATTCGATTTGATATTCGTCTATTTAATTGCTACCATATAATTTATAACAATGTGTACTTGTTGAAAATTGAAGTTTCCTTTAAAACTTCATATTTACGATATTTTAGTAAAGAAAAAATGAACTAGACACTCCTCGTTTGGATTTCTTTTAAATGACTTTATTTTTTCACGAAGAAAACATTTTGTGACTTGAAAATATTTTGTTTCTTCGTATACATATTAACAAATTAAGAAATTAATATACAGATGAAAATATATTTGCGAGTTTAAACACGAACAACTAATTTTTCTTATACCTAAGATGGCGGATAACAAATTATAATACATATATTCGCCTATCCAAGTTAATATAATTATAATTATGATGAGTGCGAAGATTTGAATAATTTTCTGGCGAAATTATTGCTGCACATGTAGATCCTCCGTATGTCTTTCTAATGTCAGGCGATCGTCACTCGATACCAAAGAGGACATCAATGATCGAAGTGTCAATGACGGTCGATCGGGACGAGATGTTTATTCGCCTTCACACGTGACCGAGTGTCGAATGACCAACAGCGACAGAAAGAGAATTCATGCCTTATCACGGCGCCTCCTCCTCTCCCTCCGCGTGCTTTAATTTATTGCGATCCTTGAGAGAATGGTCTCGAAAGGATGGCATTTTCGAGAGGTCGTAAAAAGGGAAATTTTACTCGTAAAATACGAGAGTTCGCTGTGGTGCCCGTCGAAAGATAATGCATGCGCTAAAAGGAAAGACAGATACTATAAAGTTACAAAGCACGTACTGTAGAAACTAATTTTCTGATTTTCTGAAACTCTCACTTAAGTTTATTCATAAAACTAAAAGGCCACGATCTTTCCTCTCTTCTCGGTCGCAGCAATAATAGACATTTGATGATGTTTGAAAAAAAATGTAATTTTCATTTTCCTTGCATCACATTGTCCGAGAGAGAAGACAGGTAACATGTGGATCTATTCTGTTAGTAATTTATTTGTTATCAGCTGAATTGGACATTAGAGAAATGATGGCCCAGGGTGTTAAACCACACGGTGGATGCTGTAGACCACGAATTCTCAGGAGGAGTTTGTTTGCCTTAGAGCAAACGAGCCGACGAAAGAAGAGCAGAGCGGCCATCTTGTCTCTGTCTTCACACTTCCTCTCTGCAACGAGCGCCGGTTCTTCTCCCCGCGATCTGCGTCATTCATTCGTTTCCTTGGCTCGTTTCGCTCTAATTAGAGCAATGAATGCCGATATCGTACATGTTAAATTCTTTGATTTCTAAAAACTCGATAAAAACTGTTTATTTCAATAAGAATATTCGAGAAGTTAGATCAATGTAACTTGATTCGACATGGAATCTTTATTTATTGACATTTTATTAATTGTATACTTGTGCAATAATTACTTCCATACTTTATTACATTTATATTAAAAAATGAACTTTTGCAACGTCTTGTTTAAAAATATATTTGTTAACTGACTTTCAAGAATTCTTAAATTATTCTTAAATTATTGATGTTTATCATTTTATTTGTCAATATTTCGACACTATCCTTAAATTCGAATCTGATATGACTCGCGTTAGAAATTCACAGAATGCACTCTTTGTCTTCAAAAGAAACTGAAGAGAATTTCGTGGAAAGGAAAATGATTGTAAAGTATTACGCTTAAATTTAAGTGTCTTTAAGCGAATATTCGCTAGAATCAGTGGAAGGCCACTCGGTAATGGGCCTCGTGTCTTAAGGGTTGAATGTCAAGTGTTTTGATCCTCGTGATGATTGCGGTCCTCTCCTTCCTCCTTCAAGCCAAAGAGCAACCCTCGTGGCACCGCCTGTTTACCGTTTTACTACTTTCGAGCCCTCCCGTGACATTTTCTGCGACAGCTTCAAGTGCCTCTCCAAGGGAGAGTAAATTGGCTTCCGCCATAAAAAACGGAGGAAAGTGGGAAGATGCATGGCGTATTTCGGGTGACAATCAAATATTTATACGTAGAATATTCAAATTGCTGACTTGTAATACGAAAAAAACACCGATGTACATAATTTACCATTCCGCTCTTTGTCAATTTTTGTTTATCAATTGTGATGCAACAAAATAATTACAAAGTACATCATCGGTACTTCCGCTAATGTAAGATCTTGAGCAACTACATGTCGGTAAGTCGGCAAACAATCAAACGCCTTTATTGCGAGGGTCGTGGATGCTTTATTTAAGATAAAAGCGCCTCAGAAAACCGGGACCACCCCAGAAAAACCGTATCGGTTGCACGTGTGCTCATAGGAAAACCGCAGACCGGAACCAGAGATTACGGCCGGAGCGGCTTCCGCACGTTTACCTACGTATATGGCAAGGCGGTCCCTTTTAATTACCTCGGTTGCGTTTTTTTTTTCCGAGAACAATTATACAATGCCATCATTTTTCCGCCCTGCCTTAAACGCAAATTTAACGCGGAGAAAATATTCTCGCGGCAAAGGAAAGTCATAAACCCTCTGAATACGTCGACATGTATTTTAATTTCCTATCCACGCGATTCTCTAAAAGTTATTGCTAATCCAAAGATTGTTGTACTAGTGATAACTGAATTTACAAGTATTTATACTATTTTGTCTATTTTGTCACTTTGAACGCGTGCTTGGATAGGAAAAGGATCAATAAACAGTCGCGCGGTGCAGGCAAACTAATACGGGCGGTGGCGAATTCCGGGCGGCGAGAAACGCATCCCGGAACGAATTTTGGACGTCGCAAGACGAGAGGCGAGGGTAAGACGAAACCGTCAACAGGTGCATCTGCGAGTGGCCGAGCGGAGCCGACGCGTCGTGACGTAAAACACGCGCGCGTATCGGCTGCGCGCTAAAAGACCGAGGAGAGGGTTCGTAAGGCGGCGCAGCGGCCACGATCGACGGCGACGGTATAAAATTACGGTATCGTGTAAACAGAGGATCTCGTCGGCGCGTCTGATGGCGGCCTGGGTGGCCGTCGGCCTCGGAGCCTTCATGTGTTCCTCGCAAGCGCGGTGGCTGCAACGCCGAGCGCCGAGCGCCGAGCGTATGCGAGCGTATGCGAGCGAGTTTCCTCGTGACAATAGCGCTCGAACAAACGATCACAAAACGGTTGTATTTATAGTGCTCGCCTCTTTCCCTCTTCCATGCCGATTCTCCCTCGCCTCGCGCATTTTCGCGAAATGGATGGGCCGCCGATCTGTAACACCCTCGCCGAAAAGGCTCGACGAAAATCTCGAAG